CTCAGAGTAAGGTGGGAAGGGAGTCAGAGGAAATTATCCTGCTCTTTGTGTGGGCAGTGCAGGGATGATAACCAACCCTGAGCTCCCACAGACGTGATTGTGTGCCAGCAGTGTGTGTGCCTGTGTGTGTGTGTGAACAGCTGGATCCTCTTCCTGGTGCAGAGACCTCCCAGTGACTCAGAGGAGAACCCTGTGGAGTTCTCCTTTCCTTGGATTTGAGCCATGACTGTCCTGCTGGGCTTGGAGCCTCCCCATCTAATGCTGTGCATCTTGGCCTGGTAGAGCTGCTGCTCCCTGGGTTCCTGGAGATGTGGGCTGGCCTGCACTGACAGGCTCTTCTGTGATGGTGCCAGGGACTGCCATGCAAAGAAAACGGGAAAGAAGGAATATTTGCAGCCCAACTAATGCAATTCCATCCTGTTCAGCTCATTTCCAGCCTCCCAACAGGGAGCTAAGATCAATTTTGCATCTTCTGGATGGGTTTTAATCAGCAAGTTGGGTATTTCTAGTGTTCTGTTGATGCAGTAGATTGAAGCCTGTGGTGCTTTACTTGATCTCCAAAAGACATCTTCCCTGACCTCAGGTGGAAAGAAGGAATGAGTCAGCTGGAGTCCCTGGGATTTAAGGAGGCAGCTGAAAGGAGAGTGGGCTTAATCATGATATCTCAAAGCCCAGGACCTGTTTTAGTCATCCTACCAGGGCAGAGCTGTCACATTCCCTGCCTTGTCTAAGAACCATGTGTCTGAGCTGTCTCCTGCTTCCTCATCCCCACTCGGAAGCCCTGGACCCTGGGACATCACTCACCAAACGAATGGTTTGAATGTGGTCACCTGGTAAAAGATCAGAGGAGAGATCTTTGTTCTCCATTTGGATTAGTTAAGCTTTTTTTAATCCCTTGTTTGGGGCATATTTGGTAAGCACTTTTAGACACTTGGGAAAACAGTATTTATTTCCCAATAAGCTCAGTCTTTTTCATTCTGACAGTATTGATTTTTTTTTTCTTCCACTGGTTGTAACAGAGCTTGAAATTTGCACTTCATAGGTCTTTTTGGTTCTTCAATTTTTATTCTGCTTGTGTTTCCTAACAGCATGATCAGCTGTGCAAGTCCAGCTCTGGGGTAGAGTGGAGTGGTCAGAATAAGCAAAGGTGCCAGAGGCAGAAGAGCAGTCAGTGGCAGCTCCAGGGAGTCTAGGAAATGATCTATTAGGCAAGTGCCCACTGAGCCCACTGAGGAGCTCACTGCAAAGCTACAGGGGCGTTAAAGGCATCCAAAATGCCTTGAAATGGTTAATGCTGCCTTGGTTCTTTCTGTGCCAGCCCTGCTGTATGATGCAACACTGCTGGGCCCCGTGCCTGCTATAAATAGCACATTCAGAACAGATTAGCTGGACTTGCAGTTACTGGTTCAGAGCATCCTGACCAGAAATACCTCCAGTTCTCAGCTGGGCTGCCAAGATGTCATTGTTTCACAGCTCAGTGCAGGATCCATGACCACACGGACCGTGGCCTGGGTGCCAAACCTTCGTGCCCAGGCTGCCCCAGCGAGGTATTTAGTGCAGCCCTGTGCCCGCTGCAGCTCATTCCCTCCTCTCACGTGCTCCCCGTGGCCTGTGACTGTCAGAGCACGTAAGTTCAGCCTCTGCTGGAAGTGAATCAAGCACTGGAAATAGAAGCCCGGTGGGGGAGAGGCTGCACGCTGATTCAGACTGCAGGAGCTCTCTGGATTAGGAGGCAGATTCTCTGCGTTTGCATGTCTAGGATGAGTAATCCTCGAAGTTATGACTTGGAGGGAACTGCAGCAGCTCAGGCCTGAATGTAAAGCTCCCTGCTAGGAGGATGCTTTAGCAACCATATGTCATATGCTGCCCTTAGCTGAGAGCTGAGCATCTCTGCTCTGGAGATTGTCTGCCCTGGCCATATCCAAGACTAAAATTAGCAAGAGCGTTGCATAAATTGTGAGCTGTGGCTGGTTGGTGCTTCCTTGCCTGGCCTACAGCAAGTTGCCCCCATTTTCATACCAGTTCACTGTTTCTTCTAACAGGAGACAATAAACCCAGCGAAGGAGAACCAGAAAAGCTGAAACCCCGTGGTGCTGGGTCTGTCAAAGCTGAGTCTGGCCTACAAAGCAAGCTGGGATGCTGCTGGTTTGGACATGCTTCTGGGGGTTCACTGCTTACAGCAAATCCTGGTGTTTTGCCTGAGCAGTGAACTCTTGAAGTGATGACATGAGAAGTCCAGGCTGAGTTTTATTTAGGGCACAGAAGAAGGGCTTGGGAAACAGCTGGGTTACTAAGAGAGCAAACAATGAGACAAAAGGTTCATATGAAGCCAGCACAGGCAGACTGACCAAGCCAAAGCATGTGGGTTTGCTTGGCTCCTGCATAGATAATTGTTTTATGCTCAGAGCACAGTGCAGGGCCGAAGGACACGGGGCAGAAGGGGCAGTTAACCTGTAGCACTGGTACAAATTTTTTGATGGGTTCAGGGTTTCCAGTGCTGTGCCAGCTATTTTCCTTCCCTGTACCACATGCCAGACTGTTGGATCTCTCACCACAACTCAAAGTGAATTGCAAAGCACCCTCATAAGCCCCCTCAGAGGCCGGTGCCAGGTCCCTTCCCTGGTCATGGAAATGGTAACAGCTCTGGAGGGCGATCTGCTCTCCACAGTAGTCAGGAGAAATGCACAAAGTTGAAGGAGGCAAAACTTGCTCGGTCTGGCTCCAGCCGTTTCCTGAACACCCTCACATTTCTCTGGAAGGGCTTTCAGATCCTCAGTTTTGCATCCAGCTGGGATTCCACAGGTAAGTTTGCCTCAGCCACCAAGAAGTGCCTTCAGCAGCACAGCACCTCCTATTGCTCTGATAACAGTGTTTTCCAAGGAGAGCAGCCATAACTACAACTTCAGCATCCTTTTCTGTGCTGATCCTATTTTTTGATTGATAGCTCTTGGTATTAAAAGAGATTTCTAACAACTTTTTAAAGGCTAGCAGGCACCCCCATTAAATTTGGATAAAAACTAGATGTGGAAGTAACTTATAATACTTGGTATTGTTAAATTAAAGAGTTCATTAAGAGTTCATTTTAAAAGACCAGTCTTTCTGACAGGAAAGGGGGTCCTGATGTCCAGATCCTTGAGTTACCTTGTTGTTCAGTGCATCAGAAAATGAAACTATTTAAACAAGTTCCACATTGCTACAAATAACACTTCTTGTGCAAAGTAACACCTTCCATGAAGTGCAAGGTGTGTGATTGGGGTCTGTTTTTTTGTTTAGGCTGTGAAATAAAAATAGGCTTTGGAACATTGTTTTTGTTATATTTTTGACTTATGTAAGATAATAAACACTTCAAGAGAAAATTTACACAGTTAATCTGCAGATCTCGTGTTTCCAAACAGGTAACACAGTGAAGAGCTACAGCAATGTGTTTAGGTACATTTCTGAGAGTTTTAACCAAGCAGTATGATAATTATTCTGTTTTACAAGTTAAATATAGACAAATGCTTACATTTTGCTATACAGTCTAGAACAGGACCCTATGTAAAACCTGATCCAAAATACAAACAAAAAGAAATGCCACTTTTTTCCCCTGCAACCTGGAAAAGACAGGACTTAAAGGAACTTTTACCAATTTAACTGTTGAAAGGCTCTTCCAACACTGCTTAAACCTGTATTTTTTATCAGTGTTTCATTAGAATGCTTTGGTTTCCATATTTAGACAAGCCTATACGCTCGTGTACATCACTCAAGGTCGTTCTGAGAGCATTAATTACGGTGTAATGCTGGGATGGAGCACTGCTGTCTCCTGCTGTGCTGCACAATCAGCTTGCTGGCTCCAGATCCAAGGGATGGATTGGGTTTGGTCCTGCTGCAGAGAGAGGAAATGGCATTTGGCAGAAGACAGGAGGAAGAGGAGTATCCTTTTTCCTTCGCTCTCCCATTGTGCACTAAGAACCCAGAGCGTTATCACTGCTCTCAGCTGATGTCCTGAGGTGTCTTTCTCTCTGTATGACATCCGTGCCGAGTTTATTTAAATTTCCAGTGCCAAGAGGTTAAAGCAGCCTGGATTAGAAGGTATAACCATAAAAAAAAAAAAAAAAAAAAAAAAAAAAAAAAAAAAAAAA